CCCCCCCCCCCCCCCCGCCGCCCCCAGCCCTCATGTATGCCAGCATCTTCGGCAACGTGTCGGCCATCATCCAGCGGCTGTACTCGGGCACGGCCCGCTACCACACGCAGATGCTCCGGGTGCGTGAGTTCATCCGCTTCCACCAGATCCCCAACCCGCTGCGCCAGCGCCTCGAGGAGTATTTCCAGCACGCCTGGTCCTACACCAATGGCATCGACATGAATGCGGTGAGGCCACTGGGCTTGGCCTCCGGCTGATGGTGGGCTGGAGGGAGCAGCGTGATGGTCGGGACTCCTCCTGATGTAGCGGGCACGTCTCAGACCGCCAGAGTCACCCTCGGTGGTTCAGGTGGTCCCAGTTAGCGCCAGGCAGGACCCTGAGAGGAACGTTACCCTCCTTTTGCCCATGGAGCTCGTTTACTGGGTGAGCGGTCACTTTGGGGCAGGTGCTAGACCAGGCTCTGGGTGATCGTGTTTAATCCTTATGACAGCCCCAGGCAGGAGCTGGTCTCCGAGCCTCACGCGTTAGAACGTGGAGGTTAGAGCAGTGAGGCGGCGTCCCCAAGGGTGCACAGCTGGAAGGGGTGGAAGGGGTGGAGCTGGAGTGGGCACCCAGGTCCTTCCCCTGATACCGGACGCCCTGGTGCTCCCCGCTGGATCTCCAGGTGGGGGTGGGAGCGGGGTCCCGGGAGAGGGCGTGCTGAGCTGCCCCCTGCCTCCAGGTGCTGAAGGGCTTCCCTGAGTGCCTGCAGGCCGACATCTGCCTGCACCTGAATCGCTCGCTGCTGCAGCACTGCAAGCCCTTCCGAGGGGCCACCAAGGGCTGCCTACGGGCCCTGGCCATGAAGTTCAAGACGACGCACGCGCCGCCGGGGGACACGCTGGTGCACGCTGGGGACCTGCTCACTGCCCTCTACTTTATCTCGCGGGGCTCCATCGAGATCCTGCGGGGCGACATTGTCGTGGCCATCCTGGGTACGGCCGGGCCGGGAGCTGGGCCCGAAGTGCCTGCCGAGGCCTGGAGGGGTCCCACCCAGCCCGTTAAGGACACAGCCCTAGCGGCTGTGGCCCCGGGACTACCCACAGGGACCTTGGGCTCCTTTAACTCACCCAAGCTCAGGCCTTCCGAGGGGTCGGTGGAAAGGACTCTGGGGGTTTCCAGATTCTGCTTCCCTTCAGGGTCTCCTCACGGGCAGTGACACTCTTGTTCCTTAAAACAGGACCAAATCCAGATGCTCCAAGGTAGACAGTGGGGGGAGGTTGTGCAGCCGATTTTACTAAGGGCCGCGTGGTTCCCTGCAGCCTCAGGCAGTACAACCAAGCCTTCGCCTCCAAAGCGAAGGGAGTCCTGCCCCTCTTCCCCTCACACTCCTTCTCTGCCCTGCCTGTGCACGTGGGCAGGTGCACCTGGGCACTGGGACTTCCTGCCCTCTGCCTGTCCTTCCTTTGGCCCTGGACACCTCAGGGCAGATGTGCCAACGGAGGGGGGGCTTCTTTATAGATTTTTATTTCTCATTTCGGCATAAACACGTGCTTATGCCACAAACACCCCCAAACACAACTGAAACCAAAGTTTTGCTAAACAACAGTCGCCTTAACTACATTCTGGTGTTTTCTGTTCTGTGCTGTGCTAAGCTATGCTATCCTGTTTTCTTTCAGTAAACAGAATGCTGGTCTTGATTCACTACTGTGTTTGATCTGTAGCTTGAAGAACATTGTTTATGGGGGTGCAGTGTTTGGCCAGGAGGGTGTTTGGGACGTGGGCTTTGGGGGGTACCAGAGGAGTTAGAAGCCAAGGAGGAAGCCAGGGCCACCCCGGGAGCTGGGAGGCACAAGGTTCCGGGCCCTTTACCCTCAGGGCGCTGCACTGCGCGCACGCCCTGCCTTTGCAAGCTGGGGGAGGATGGGCTGGTTGATGCTTCCCTGGCCCTGGGGGCTGGGGCCCGTGACCAGACTGAGGGGAGGTGCCCGGCCAGGGTGAGAGTGCCTGGAAGTCAGGTGCCTGCTGCCTCTGCTGCCGCCCCAGGGGCTGAGCCCCCCTCTCGGTGGCCTCCAGGGAAGAATGACATCTTCGGAGAGCCTCTGAACCTGTATGCGCGCCCTGGGAAGTCCAACGGGGACGTGCGGGCCCTCACCTACTGTGACCTGCACAAGATTCACCGGGATGACCTGCTGGAGGTGCTGGACATGTACCCCGAGTTCTCTGACCACTTCTGGTCCAGCCTGGAGATCACCTTCAACCTGCGGGATGTGAGTGGGCCGCGCGGCTGGGTGGCTGCCCCTTCGCTGTGTGACCTTCTCTCTGGGCCTGTTTCCCTGTCTGTCAAATGGTATCTGCGTCAGACCAGGTTGTGAACGTCCCAGCCTCAGCCCCGTCCTGGGGCAGAGCTCACACCCCCAGCCCCACCTTCTCTCTTCGGGAGGGGGTCTGGCCGGGACCCGGCAGGCTGGGTGGGCGCGGAAGGGCCCTGACACCGTTCTCGGTTCCAGACCAACATGATCCCCGGCTCTCCCGGCAGCGCGGAGCTGGAGGGTGGCTTCCACCGGCAACGCAAACGCAAGCTGTCCTTCCGCAGGCGCACTGACAGGGGTG